GTGTCTGGTAAGTGGAATCAGATGCTACAGGGACAGCACTTTCTCTCTGTAGAGCAAAGCCTGCTGCTTTGTTTTCCAGCTGTCTTGACTAATCTAGAGCTTAGGCCAGTTCTCTGGAGAAAACTCCACGGTGTACCAGACATCATTCCCAGGCTTCAGATCCCTCCTTCTGACTTACACAATGACAGGTGTGGATCCACGTGGACAGGGGAGGTGACTGCTACCCTGCCTGCTATCTGTGTAACAGGTATCCCTTCTACTGGTCAAGGCAATCAGTGGTCCACACAGTAACTACAATATTGCAATTCCTTAGACCTGCTCTCTCCTGAAATCACTCTGCAAATGTTTTCCAAGTGGAACCAAAATCCAATCTTCTGGCCTAACCCACCCAGATATCCACTCTGTATATTTCCCTTAAAAATGCCACTGAGAATTCAAAATAGTCCCTTTGCAGAAGCACTACAAGAAAGCATGTCTAAAATCACAGAACTATGCACACACAGACACAGACACGCGTGCTCGCACACACATGGAGTTGGGAATTAAAGAATCTCGTCAGATACATATTTGAGGGAGCATAGGGAAAGGCTGGCAAGAGAAGATATGGAGATCAGATCAGATCGAGATGTTGGAATGTTACAGTAATGGCGTGGGTGTGGTTCTTGGTACATACAAAAGGGTGGAGAGGATGATAATCCAGGCTACTAGAGAGAGATGCTGTGGCCATGCATGAGTGAAAGGAAGTGGAGGCCGCTGACAGAATGAAATGTTCTATTATGGAGTGGTCATTTCAAGGAGGAGGGACTTGCATGGTCCAGGGGAGGAGCATCTGCTTAGCAAGACACTTCCATGGTCTGGTGTCTGTCCAGGACATCAGGGGACTCACAGGATTCTTGAGTTCCATCTGACTGATTGCTGGTCACAGACCTGCTAAAGGGACTTTCTCCAGAGCCAATGCTACTTGAGGTGGAGTGGGTTCGTGATCGGGCGAGCCGGGTCATGCTGGCAGACGGTACTGTAACAGAGAACCAAGAGGTCAGGAGGAGGAGCCTGGTGAAGCTCAGATCCTCTACAAGGTTCAGCAAAGACTTTACCTTTCCCAGCCCACCTAAGACGGTGCCCAGGGTGACCTAAGATCCCCCCACTTTGCACTGTTTGCTGGAGGTGAGTGACTGTATGCAAGGCTGCTTTGATCCTCTGCATCTGGCTTCTGCTCAGATTCTCCTTCAGAGTAGGATGGGAAACCCTACAGAAAAGCCTCTTAGCTGTGCCCACGCCATTCATACA